TACAATGTATCTAAGAACATGCTTCATGTAGTCTAAGTTTTGGCCCACATCCTTCCTAATTTGATTTTATTCGCAATGACCTTAAGAAACGTCAGATTTTTCAATGCTAGTTAACAAACGGATATGTTCCAAATTATATTCAGAATATAACCAAATTATAAAAATAAATCCTTTGGTACATGTTCTGCCGAAATATGTGTCACTACAATTATATTTTGTTGCCAACCTGATTTTCTAACCTCCATCTGTGGACTTGGATTTGGCTTGCAGTTTAGGAAGAATTGCAGTGCCAGCCCAAAGGCTGGTCAACACCTGTTATCCAGCGCTCTTAGGATCCACTCATGACAGTGTTGCTTCATAGTTTGGGTGCCACAGGGAAGGGCACACGCAGTTACCTGCATGGCAGATGCCTAATTCTTCAGCTCTCAATTGTCTCAGCTCTCTGAAGTGACATTCCTGTTTCCCCACCCTGGCCTTGTTGGTATAAGCTACTGATTTGGTCACCTAGTTTCTGGTGGTTCCTGAGAGTTACCAAGTCTCTTTAATTTTGCATTTTAATTTTGGTAATAATTTTGAAATGGGAAAGTTGTATGCAATCATCTCTGACTTCAAAAGAGTGCTTGGATATAGGACTCCTGGCAGAAGAGACCCAACATCTTCAGGTGTTCAATTTCTTTACAGTGAAGTGTACTAGTAGGTTCTATTTGGAAGTAACCTACTTGCCATGTCATTTTGGTTTGTAAATTCCAGGTCATGTGTTTTGTTCTGGTTTGGTTTCTTGGTTTTTGTTTCTCAAGACAGGGTTTCTCTGTGCAGCCTTTGCTGTGCTGTGCCCACACTCGTTCTTTTAATAATAAATGTTAAGGACAATTTTGAAAATTGAAATACTCTCTGTTTCATAACTAAAGAGAAAACAATTTACTGTTTTTCAGAGAGAATTCAAGAAGATTTTAGAATGTTTTTATTTTTTGAAAAGTATTTTTAAGAAGAATATTTTAAAATATGGAACCTAGCAATAATGTTGCTGAGAATAGTACTTCAGTTGCTTCTATATCACCTTTTATCCTAGAATAATAACTCTTCTATTACCGAGAAAAAAAAAATGTTGTCTGTTAAACAATAACTTGGAGCTGTCTTCAAAAAATTGTCTCAAATCATGTTCTCCATTCAGCACATGCTTTCAGCTCATAGAAATTAGATCCCAGATTAATCTTCATCATAAAAGATAGTGCATATTTAGGTACAAATATTAGTCAAGCAAACTAGATATAGCAAGCAAAGAGTAATACAAAAAAACTTAATAATGTTCATATGTTTGTTTTGCAGTGCTGGAGATAAAACCCATAGTCTTTCTATCTACTACAAAGCTATATTTTAAACCAAAAATCATAATTTAAAAATACAATTCTTATATGTTTATGTAAGAAGAAAATTACAAGGTAGAATTATTTTAGTATTAATTTGTGGTATTCCTATATTTTTCTCTTTTCATTTCAATTTCATTGATATAGTTAACTTTTTGTTTTATTTTTCTGTTGGATTTGGGTTTAAATTCATCTGCTTTCTCTTTATTAAAAGTGGAAACAAGTTACAGATTTAGGGTATATTGCTTTGACTAAAATGAGCATTCATGCTATGAATTTTTGTCAAAGTATTATATTAAGTATATCTTATAAGTTTGGTATGGCCTGATTTTTGTTTCTCCATTCCAAAATCAATATTATTTCCTTAAAGATTTTTGTTTGCTTCATGTCACTAATAAATAGATTACTTTTCAATACCTTCATCTGTTTCCAAATAATAATTTATGGTTTCAGTTATGATATTCTCTGAAACTCAATAACATGATATGTATTCTTTAAATGTTTAAAGTTTCTGCCAAAAAGTACATTTCTTCCTTGAATTGTATTATTGTACATCTGATTATTTAAAGAAATGGAAATTGAAATACTTCTAAAATGAATTAAATTCATATTTAAGAGTCACAGACTTTTTCAATAAAGTATAACCAATGTCTATACAGAATGTACCTGTATTATAGATGACCTATAGCTGATATGGTGCAGCATGCCTTTAAAGCCAGCACTCAGGAAGGCAGGGGCAGGTGGATCTCTCTCTGTGAGTTCCAGGCCATCCTGGTCTACAAAGCAAGTCAAGAACAGCCAGAGCTCTTATGCAGAGAAACCCTGTACCCCACAGAAAAACTTCAAACAAAAATTAAAAAGCATAACTCTAAAATACTAATTATCAGGTAAATATTTGGGATAAACAACCTGTATTTTAAAATTATATATTTAAAAAACATTAAAGGAAAACCAATATAAAAAGGTAAAAATTGAAACCACATATATATTTTTCTACACAGTATCCAAAGTTTCATAACAAATACTTCCTTCTTTTTGGTGATAAGGTATCTATAAGAGTCGACATTAGAATATATTTTTTCCCATGATCCTTTCCCACTAAAAATGGTTTCTTTTAATAGCTATCCTACTTTCCCACTCATACAGGAAAGCATGCTTTCTTAAATGATATGATGAAGTAATGCATTTTTAAATTATTTATTTTTCTCTCCTATTTTACATCCTGACCACAGTTTCCTGTCCCTCTTTCTTTCTAGTCCCTTCTACTTCTCCTCTTCCCCAGATCCAGTAATCTTCAGTTTCTTTTCAATAGAGAGCAAGCCTCCCAGGGATATCAATCAAATATGGCAAAACAAGTTACAATAAGACTAGGCACATAACCTTCATATAAAGACTGGATGAGGGATGGTTCATTTCTATAGTTTGTTACTAGAGAAATAATTCATTTTTACATGTAAGTGTTAGACAAGATTTTTTACACCACTTGCAGAAGTAAGGAGTCTAGTTTTGTTAGGAATGGGGACCAAATCCTTTTCAAGTCAGCTAGTCTCCACTTACACAGTTCTTGTAGAAGTTAGTGAACAGGTAACGGTAGTGATTGAAGAGGACAAATTTATTCTGATGTAGCTGTTTGTGTGTTCATGTACCATATAAAGTAGAAAGTGAAAATATATCCCCTGAGCAGTCACTTAAAACATTTAAGTATAACGTCATATGCCAGTCATGTCAGTTGGCTGTCACGGGTTCACTTATGATTCATCTTTCCATATACCATAGTGCTGGAGTTTCTCTGGATATTGTAAGTAGCTATCTGAGACCAGAACATATTTCCTGTATCAATATAGATGATGAGCACAGAAAGGGAATGGTAAATACCGCTGAGCGGGAAACAGGAAACAGCTGCAAACAAAAATTATCTTTTAACATTCACTTATGCTTTAACAGATAAATTTAATTTATCTAAATCTGACAAACTTGAGCTATGAGTTGACCTAGTTATGGAATCACTATGGTGAAACACCGGGACCAAAAGCAAGATAAGGAGGAAAAAGATTTATTTGGTTTATGCTGCCACATACAGTGGCCCATCACTGAAGGAAGTCAGGACAGGAGCATACACACAGGGGAGAAACCAGGGGAAAGGAGCTCATGCAAATGCCATGAGGAGGCTTGCTCAGCATTTTTCTTTCTTTTTGTTTTCTGTTTGTTTGGTTTGGTTTGTTTTTTTGAGACAGGGTTTCATTGTGTAGCCTTGCCTATAATGGACTCACTTTGTAGACCAGGGCTGGCCTTAAACTCAGAGATCCGCCTGCCTCTGCATCCCAGAGTACTGGGATTACAGCCCAGTTTGCTTTACTATAGAACCCAGGACTACCAGCCCAGGGATGGCACCACCCACACTGGGTTGGGTGTTTCCAGATATATCAGTAATTAAGAAGATGCCCTAGAGTTGGATTTTTATGGAGGCATTTCCTTAATTGAGGTTCCCTCCATTCAGACTTATGTCAAGTTGATAAAATTAGCCAGCGCATGCATATAACTCATTAAATCTCACCATAATTAAATATGTGATGTAAGTTCATTCATTGACCATTTACTAACATAAACTGAATATTACTTATTACTTGATTTACATATTTTGAATTTTGTTTCTCAAGCCTGACATCACAGGGAAGTCATATTAATTAATGTCTGCTGAAATCAAATGCTCAGGAAAAAAAAAATCTATGATGTTTCAATACATCAAGTTGCTCTTACAACTGAAAATTTACCCTCAAGAGCTCTGGAAACTGTTAAGTGATTAATCACTTGCCACACAAATATTTGGGCCAGCGTTTGAGTACCCAGAACCTGTGTAAATGCCAGGTTGACATGGTGCCCACCAGTAGATTTGGAAGATAAACACAGGGGATCATCAGAGCCAGCTAGCTAATAGGAAAGGCTAGGGAAAAGACTTCTGCTTCTTCAGGAGAGACTGTACCTCATTAAAAAGACAGAAGAGCTCTCGAGGGTTACTCCTCACATTTACCGCGGGACACCCATGTGCATGTATCCCCTGACATGTGCCCGTATATGCGCAAACATGCACACACACGTATACACCACATTTTAACATAGAAAAATACAAATATATATTCCTAAAAACTTGAGAACTCATTCCTAAATTATCTAAAAGACACTTTGGGGTAATTAGGAAAGAAACAACAATATCAACAGTCAACACAAAGAATTGCATGATTGCAATTTTTTTCTGTAAAATCAAAATACTGTGAAACTCAAACCTAACACTCAAATTTAGAACCATAAATTCTCAAGTTACTTAAGCTTATTATTAAAGTAAAAAGTGATCATGATTTCTAAAAAAAATTTATTCTTTTTTTTCCTCTTTCATAGTGGGAATTGAATCTAGGGCATTGTATATGCTAGGAAAGTTTGCACCAATAAGCCAGAACACTAATTATTTTTATGCTACCAGTATTGAATGTAGATTAACTATTTGAGAAGGTACCATTTGTAAGCCAGAACATTACCCCTAAAATCAACATTGTATTTTAATAAGCCTCAACACATGACACATGATATACGTTAACTCTTAGTTCAGTGTAACATTTATATTTAATAAAGGGTTTAACTTACCGGCGGCTCAGCCCCCTTAGAACCAGTCAGCCCTCCAGTTAGGGATTCGATGTCCTGAAAAGGGAAGAGGTGATGATTGTAAATGTTACTTAATAGCATGGACATTACCCAATCCCACAGTATATTGTCATTGGAAGCAAAGGAAAGGTGATTCAGTTATTATTATTATTATTATTACTATTATTATTATTAGTGTGTGGTGAGTGAATATTGGATCCTTACAAAGCTTTAAAATAGCAGATATGCAAAGATCTGATTATTTTCTCTAACTCTTTACAATCTGTAAAAGCAAAAATAAATGTGAGCAGGCAATTTTTCTTGAAATATGAAAAGAAAATGACTCTAGACAGGATGTTTTATCATAAAGAGCTAAGGGGAGAACAAAATAACAAGAAATAACCTCAATAGACATTTTTCAAGAGGACTCCTTTCTGATGGTATTCTATCCACAAAAACTCGAAATTGTCTATTAATACATATGTAAAATATTAGGATATTGGGTAGATTCGGTGTTCTTATACAAAGATTAATTCTTAATGTTGAATTAATAGCAACAGAAAGTAATGCATAAGTAATGATTATACATGTCAGAGTTATTATGAATGGAGAAATTAAAGATGCTATGATACGTTTTTATAGGCAGTGATGTTTATAGAAACAAGACTAATTCTGTCATAACCATTCTAGGGATTTGATGTAATTGATATCAATCACACAATCTTTTCAAAATAAAATAGAATGACAGATTTTAGAAAAAAAATATCACAAAAAATTTAATATGTTGGCAACTGACTTAACTTGTAAGCTATCTCTCATAAATGAAACAACAAACACATAAACACACACACACCACACACACACACACACACACACACACACACACACAAGTCTGCTCAAAGGCATCCTGCTACTAGCCAGACCTAACACTGATATATATTGAAAAACAGATAAAAAGTTTGAGGTTTTTATTTTTATTTTTTAAACTTTTATTAATTACACTTTATTCACATTGTATCCTCCATAAACCCCTCCCTCCTCACCTCCTGATCCTACTTTCCCTCCCCCTTCTTCACGCATGCCCCTCCCCAAGTCCCCAAGAGAGGGAAGGTCCCCCTCTCCTTCCTTCTGTTCCTACTCTATCAGATCTCATCAGGAGTGGCTGCATTGTCATCTTCTGTGGCCTGGTAAGGCTGCTCTCTCCTCAGGGGAGGTGATCAAAGAGCAGGCCAGTCAGATTAGGTCAGAGGCAGTCTCTCTTCCCATTACTATGGAAACCACTTGGACACTGAACTGCCATGGGCTACATCTGTGCAGGGGTTCTAGGTTATTTCCATGCCTAGTACTTGGTTGGAGTATGAGTCTCTGGGAAGACTACTGTGTTCAAATTTTCTGGTTCTGTTGTTCTTCTTGTGGAGTTCCTGTCCTCTCTAGCTCTTACTATTTCCCACTTCTTACATAAGATTCCATGCACTCTGCCCAACAGTTGGCCACAAGTCTCAGCATCTGCTTTGATAGTCTGCAGGGCAGAGCCTTCCAGAGACCCTCTGTGGCAGGTTCCTAGCTTGTTTCTTGTTTTCTTCTTCTTCTTCTGATGTCCATCTTCTTTGCCTTTTGGAATGGGGCTTGAGCATTTTAGTCAGAGTCCTCCCTCATGATTAGTTTCTTTAGATGTGCAGATTTTAGTAGGTTTATCTTATATTATATGTTTATATGAATGAGTATATACTGTGTGTGTCTTTCTGCTTCTGGGAAAGCTCACTCAAGATGATCCTTTTCAGTACCCACCATTTACCTGCAAATTTCATGGTTTCCTTATTTTTCATTGCTGAGTAATATTCCATTGTGTAGATGTACCACAATTTCTGCATCCATTCTTCAGTTGAGGGACATCTGGGCTGTTTCCAGCTTCTGGCTATTACAAATAAAGCTGCTACAAACATGGTTGAGCAAATGTCCTAATTGTGTACTTGAGCCTCTTTTGGATATATGCCTAGGAGTGGTATAGCTAGATCTTGAGGAAACGCTATTCCTAGTTGTCTGAGAAAACGCCAGATTGATTTCCAGAGTGGTTGTACAAGTTTACATTCCCACCAGCAGTGGAAGAGGGTTCCCCTTTCTCCACAACCTCTCCAGCATGTGTTGTCACTTGAGTTTTTGATGTTGACCATTCTGATGGGTGTAAGGTGAAATCTCAGGGTCGTTTAGATTTGCATTTCCCTGATCGCTAATGAGGCCCTTTGATTTGTTTGAGATGTCAGGTAACATTGCTGTAACCTGATTTGCTGGTGTGCTTACTGATGTATTTTGTAAATTTTTTTGATTCATAACTCTTTTTTTCTGTTAACTATAAACACTTCACGGAATTACTTCCACACATATAACCTGGGTAACTTAAATCCATATTATTAGACCACTGTCACTGAAACATGGCTCTAGAAATACACTATCTCTTGTTCACTGTGTGGATAAGAGCCGTGGCTTTGAGTTAAGAGTAGTATAATGAAAGATAAAATAAATTAATAACATGCTGGAACCCTAAGCATGGTAAGTTATATCCAATATTTTAACATTTCAGTATGACATTGTCATCTACAAAGTTCACTCTGAAGAATCAAATAATGAAGTGACAAAAATTAGTACTCCGCCCAAATCCTCTCATAATGTTTAAATAGAGATTACAATTTTGTGTTGGTCTGTATTCACAGCTCTCTAGGCCTCATTTGTTCACTGACAAAGAAGCCTGCTTTTTCTTTTACCTGCCATTGCTTTTACATGGTAATTTTTTTTAAACGGAACATTTCTGATAATTATTTGAATTTTTAAGATTAATACGAAATCCTTGGCAAACATTTCTTCTCTGTTATCTAAATATATTCATTAATACATATGAACAAAAATTAGTAAATCCCAGGGTGGTATGGACAGAGATAGGCAGGAAGTTTCATTCCTACCTATGGAGCTGTTGACAAATCTCAGCTTTTAGTGATTTTTTTTTTTGTTTGTTTGTTTGTTTTTGTCAACTTGACATACCTAGAGTCATTTGGGAAGAAGGAATGTCAACTGATAAAATTCCACCTAGAGATGGTCCTGTGGGCAAAATACGGAACATTTTCTTGACTGATGACTGATAGAGGAGAGCTCCACTCACTGTAGGATATGCCAACCAGCCTGATCTTGTGGTCGATGATGTTATAAGGCAGCAGACTGAGCGAACCCAGAGCAGCAGCCAGGTGATCGGTGTTCTTCCAGCCTCTGCTTCAGTTGCTGCCCCGACTTTCCTCAGTGGTGGTCAAGCTCTTAAAGGAAACAAACCCTTTCCTCCCAAGGTGCATTTGGTTATACTGTTTATCACAGCAATGGGACCCCAACTAAGACAGTGAAGAAAAGGGAGGATTCTGGAAGAGTTGGCAGAGGGAGGGTCAAGATGATCAAACCCATTGTAAGGCTTTCTCAAATAACTAATATTAAAAAAAAAAAAACTCCAAAACACCAATAAAAAGTTTCAAATTTACTTTTGTAACATTGGCTCACTTAAGCATGCAAAACATTTTTTTTTCCAGATTATAGATTTGCCTCCACTTTATTGTATGCCTTAAAGAGGCCATCACTTACATCTGATAGCCAGCAATTGTCTTGTTAACTTCTTCAAAAAAATTGATATTGATAGCTTCGTATTACACAAGATATGAAATACCTACATACAGTTAAAAATTATTCCTTGACTCAGCTGTAGAGATCCAGTCTCTTTACATTTGGAAAGCTGGGCTCATGGGATGGCCCTGGTAAATGGAACTAGAAGACTCAAATTTTAGGAAGGTTATGTTCCAGGCTTAGTGTTGAAGTTCTGAGTAGAAACTGAAAGGCAGCATGAAGCTTAATACCTACCCGCATGTTTGCAATAAACTACTCATTACATTGAGGGTATGTTGTGTATGCACTTCCTCCCTCTGAACCTCTGCTAAAAATTATTGTCATATTTTCCTCTTGACATATACCGAGAATAATGGAGCAATAGAGATTGATCATGACTTTCAATGTCAGTTATCTGGTTCTGATGCGAGTTCTGCCTCACATCAGAACATATTGATGTGAAGGTTTTTCTGGGTTATTCTTTATTCTTTTTTAAATATCTGTAAGAAACTGAATTATTTGATTGTAGTAAAGAAATATATAATAAAAACCACCTGAAACCAAAGACAATGCAAGGAAATAAATTAAAATTATGAATAATTTCTTAGTTAGGGTTACTATTGATGTGATGAAGTGTCATGACCAAAGCAACTTGGGAAAGAAAAGATTTATTTGGATTACATTAGGTATCACTGTTAATCTTTGAAGGAAGTCAATACAAGAACTCAAGTAGGAGCTGATGCAGAGGCCATGGATGGGTGCTGGTAACTGCTTGCTCCTCATGGGCTTGCTCAATCTGCTTTCTTATTGAACCCAGGACTATCAGCCAAGGGATGCCACCAGCCACAATAGGTCGCCCTCCCATTAATTATTAATTAATAAAATGCGTTACAGGCTTGCCCTAAGGCCTGATCTTATAGAGAAATTTTCTTAATTGAGGCTCTTTCCTCTCAGATGACTTTAGCTTATGCCAAATTGACATAAAACTATTCCATACAAATAACCAACTGAATTTATTTTCATCTAAATCATATAATCCAGAACACTGTCGTATATGGGAGCAGCTTTTAAATGCATATCAAGTTTTACTTATTCACAAGTCACCTCATCTACTACATAAATACTTAAAGCACTGTAAAGTCATAATTATTTACATAAATTAGCATTGTAAATTTTCATATTTATCAGTGTAATTCTTTAAACTTATTTTTTTAAATTTTTTATTAATTACACTTTATTCATTTTGTATCCCCCCATAAGCCCCTCCCTCCTCCCCTCCCGATACCACCCTCCCTCCCCTTTCTGCATGCATGCCACTCCCCAAGTCCACTGATAGGGGAGGTTCTCCTCTCCTTTCTGATCTTAGTCTATCAGTTCTCATCAAAATTGGCTGCATTGTCCTCTACCGTGGTCTGGTAAGGCTG